CCATCAAAGGTGTAACTTTTTCGTCCATTTTTCCCGTCTTTTTGCTGTAGAAATGCTGTCCAGAATGATGGCGATTTGGCAACTTTGCCCCCTCATTCCTCAAAAACCGTGCGTATACTCAAGCTAAAATTTTTACCAGAGTTTTAGGGTATCATAAGGTATCGTTTGGGCCCGGTTTCAGAAAAATCCCTTCTGGCCCAAATTGTGCCAAAAAACGGTCGTTTTTGGCGTCGCTCTTTCCTCTGTGAGCCAGCTGCGCATTAAGTTGAAGTTTTCCTCCAAGAAAGGCAGAAAGGAGAGTTAAAGCAACATTTAAGGCGTTGAGAGCAGAGAGGGCATTTCTTGGTTGCAGTGGCTCAAAATATTCACTGCTATAATTCATTTTTTAGAGAGGAAATTATTCGATGAATTTTGAAATGTTTCATTTTTAGCAGTGTAAAATCATGAAGAAAACTCCGGAAAGTTTCAACGAATTTCATATAATTTGCAACTTTAACTAATGGATAAAACGTCAGTGGAGATTCTGAGACGCCGCGACTAAGAAATGACTTTTCTGCACATAGCGCTCCATTTAGGCGCGAACAAATTTGATACACTTATGCCTTCTTTCATTCCAGCTTTAAATTAAAAAGAAATTTATTTTAATGCGGACTTCACAGTTAACTGCGTCAAAGAGTGTCAGAGAGCGCTGTGAAAGGAGCTTTCATGTATGTCTTTAATATAATACACTACAAGGCTGCACTAATATATAATCGATCTGTAATTTCAACACATTCTCTACAATTTTAAGTTTAAAGTATAATTTAAATATGCACAATGAATCAATTTTGTTCCTAGCTTAAAACTGATTACGGGTCTTTTGCTAGCAAAAATACATGGATAGACTTTTTACGGGAAAATAATCGCATAAAATTACGTCAAGTGCGTCAACAAATTTTAAAATCCTCTTAGTGGGCACAATCAGACATATTTATGGTAAAAAGAATGCGTAACTATGTTAAATCAGAAGTATCTTACGGGCTTACGTCAGTAAAGCAACGGTAGGGCCGAACTCTTTTTCTGAGTGTATACTTAAGTCATCATGAAGATATTCTGAGGATACTTGAGGTGCACTGAAAATATATTATTTTTGAGATACTATGAATCCAGAAATAGAACACCTACATAGAGACAGTACGGACATGTCGGTGATTTTGAGCTTAAATCAAGGAGCTCTCAGGTCCCAAAAGGGCAGCCAACCTATAAATTAAAATTATCCACAGTGATTCATTATTACAATTGTCACGATCCGTCGTTTGGAAATCACGTATTTGACTTACTTCCAGCATAAATCTATTCATTATTGCGAAAGAACCCTCATATTTGAACATTCTTGCCCATCTTGGTTTGATAATGGAATCTGAAGATTGGCAATGAAATTTTGTGTGTTAGAAGGTTGCCTGCCCTTTTGGACCTTAAGAGCTCCATATTTTGACTTGTCCATATTCTCCCTGTTAAGGTACTTTATTCAGAAACACATCATTTTATTTCTGGTAGAATCGACCTATTCTTCCGCGACATTAATTTTCGGAGCTACGATAATTTCGCCCCGAGAAATTCGAATTTCCGCTCTTCGGAGGGGCGGAGATAGGGCGCGCGGGGGGCCCGGAAAAGGGGAGAGTCGGGGGTCTTGCCGGAGAAAGTGGTTGGGTCGGTAGGAATGGCGCAAGGTGGAGTTGGTACTCGCTGGGCTGTGTAATGAAATGCGAATCGGATGAGGGTGAAATGAGCCCAGTTTGTTTGACTACACATCAAGATGTGACTTCCCTTTTAATAAATTCACTTACCCGATCGACTCAACTGCCTAATTTAACCAAACACTCGCCGCCCCCGTCCTCCCCGCGCCCCGTGAAACCACCCTCGCTTCTTTGCCACATCGCGCATCGGTTAGATCTAGAGTACCTATATTGAGAGAGTATGGCCACTGGGCCCCATGGAGAGGCTTAGGACCCAAAAATAACGGTGCGTTGTTTTGGTTTTTGTGGAAGGGAGGGGGGTCATTGCCAACTTTTGACGGTTTTCACCAACCGCACTTGCTGCCAACCTTACTACATCTAAGATAATTTTTCTCAACAATTGCACACGATTAGCCTTAAAAATATGTAAAGAAGTCGCAATAGTGCATTTGGGTAAATTTCTCGTTACGATAAGCAAAGAAAACTACATTTGGAGTCATTTTGCATTACATTAATTTATGGCGTCCGCCATTTTTGGGTCCTAAGGGCTCCATTCAGCCTAAGATGGCTGCGCCAATCAGAGGTGGTAACACCAGTGGCCATACTCTCTCAATATAGGTGCTCTAGTTAGATCTAGAGTACCTTTGTAGGAAGAGAATGGACAACTCGAAAATTTCTAGGTTAACTTTGATCAGGTCATGTAGCTCTTGGGGTCCAAAAGGGGAGCCAACCTTTGAACTCGAATTATCCCAACTATTAATTTTCCCATAATTACACATTTCAATCAATGGGATCGCTCCATACTCTCCATGTCTTCTTTGCATGTCTATCGCTTTGTATATCAATTTCGATAGTCAGCCCGCTGCTTTCACCCCCACGAAGTGTCTACTAAAACAGGCTGACCAAAGATCAGGACTTTCACAGTACTTTCCTGGTACTTTCCAAATAAATTAAGTAACCTCCAAAACAGAATAATTTAGTACTTTTTCAGTATCTCCATTTGACGAAATTTGAAAACTTTCGAAAATTTAAATTACTCGCTCAAAAATAACAAAAAAAATGAAAAAAGTTCCGGACCTACTTGCGAGATTAGCGCACTTTTTGAATACTTCCGAACCGACCTTAAAAAATCAGTACTATTTCCAGACTTGTAGACACCCTACCCCTCTCTCGATCATGGTGTCTAGTATTCATGGCAAAGCTCATTCCCTGATTTTTTCCTGATTTTCCCAGATTATCAGGATTCAGGAGCTCATTCCCTGATGAAAAACCAAAGTTTTCTCCTACTTCCCCGGGATTTTCTAGGGGAAAAGAATATAATTTTCCAGACTTTCAGCTATGAATATCGATTTTAATTCATCTTACGGCCATTTCTTTGGCGCACATTCAAAATTTTAATTTAAAAAATGTTCCTGATGTTGATTATCTGGTCAATGAAAGAGATTCCCCGTTTCTGGAACAGATTCCCTGATTCTCCCCTGATTTTCCCGGTAAATTATCATTCCCAGATGAATCTCGGTTTTCCCCGGTTTTTAAAAAACTAGACACCATGCTCCCGATACAGGCTCGCATACATCTCAACCTAGTTGCTGGCCAACACTTAATTTTTCAGTCATGGAAGGAGGCTCGATTAGGAGCACGAGTTCGGACGATGTTTCGTTCGCGGGGAAGAGCCGGCAGTGCTGTCCCGAGGGCACCAACAACCCGGCCTACAAGAAGGGACGAAGGATCCAGCTCCTCCAGATGCTCATCCTCCCTTTCATCCCCATCCTGGCGCTCATCGTCTAGACGGCCGTCTCCCTCCGGGTCCTCGTCAAGCACCGACAAGAAATGGCCGACATAGATTCCCAGGTCAGCGTAGGGGCCGTCCATTAATTACAGGCCTCCTGGTTTATTCTGTATATTTCTTATTCACCCCCCCCCCCTCTTTCGATCACTTAAGATGTCAGACAAGAGCTCTCAGATGCCAAAGATCATTGAAAAGTTGCCGAATACAACGGAGCCATAAAATGCACACTATTGCCGAACACAAGGCGACTAAGTCGTCTGCTCTTGCGCTAATATTTATTCGTCCTCTTGAGCGACGGATCCCAGTCAGCAGTAACAGACGATAGTGCCACGTGTCGTTTCCATTTTGCACTTGCAGATGCAACTGTTTGCACTTAAATGGACACAATTAATTGGCGATTAATAATAATTGGAGTGAAGCACATAAAAACGCGTTATCAGTTTGTGCGTGATGGTCTTTAAATGTTATACCGACAGAATACCTCTTTGTGGCAATTTTTGAAACAATTCATGACTTTAAAGCGACTTGTGGGGTTAAAATTATGATGACTAGGAAAACTCATGTGCGGTACACTGCACTGGGAAAAAAAAAAAAAAAAAAAAAAAAAAAAAAAAAAAAAAAAAAAAAANAAAAAAAAAAACAACAACACATTGGATCTTGTGTCCAGACTCTTGAAAACATTGACAAGAAAAAGGACTCCTGATTCAATCAGATTGATTTAAGCTTAAATCAAAAGGAAATCCGCTCAAATTGAGAGGCTTGGTTCTTGATTTAAGCTTGAATCTGATCGAATCAAGAGTATTTTTTCTTGTCGATGATTTAAGAGTCTAGACTCTAGATCCAATTAGTTCTTTTTTCCAGTGATCTAATGATGTAACTCCTCGATCAAAGTGCATTCAACAGAGCCGAAGGTGTTTCTGGTTCATGTGTTTTATTTATTCATATTTGGGCGTACTTATGCGATAAGGAACTGTATCACAATCCCAGCAATCCCTATGCACATGGTTCCTTATAGCAGAAATACGTCCATATGAGCGCCAGGGCGGGGCTACAAGTCTACAATGCAACTTATCTCTCAATTTCACTGTCAACAATGTTTTCAACGGAAAAAAATCAAGTAAAAATTACTGGAAATTTCCCTGCTATGATCATTAATAAAACGAAGTTTACGGTTGAAGTTGCTCGCCTTTCGGACATCGCGAAAGACAAAAATGCATAATACAACCCCTGAGCCGATCAAATTGTATCGCTTCGAACTGAAGACGAACTTGATTTCTCGTTCCCGTCTTTCTATTCAGAGAAGAGCGTGCGGACATGACAGGGCCATATTCTAGCCTTTGTAACTTACAAACGACAAATAAAGGCATGCTAAATTTATTCCATACGAAATGCAAAAATTTTACATACCGAGAAGCCGCTAACAGCAAAGGTTCCTGAAAAAAAATAAAAATTAAAATAATTACACGTGGTGAAAATCTACACATTAGAGGAAGAAGTGAGCCATTTAAGGAGAGAATAGAAGGAACGTAGGTTAATAGTGATTAATTCTTTCAGACATTGAATTTATAGGATTTTTCCTGCTTTTTGACGATGAAATATTTGTATCAGGTACATCTACACTGGAAAAAAACACATCGGATCTAGAGTCCAGACTCTTGAAAACATTGACAAGAAAAAATACTCTTGATTCAATCGGATTTTTGCTTAAATCAAAAGGAAATCCGCTCAAATTAAAAGGCTTGGTTCTTGATTTAAGCAAAAATCTGATTGAATCAAGAGTATTTTTTCTTGTCGATGTTTTTAAGAGTCTGGACTCTAGATCCAATGTGTTATTTTTTCCAGTGTAAATTCTTCATTACACATTTCATTGAAATGCATGGTAATTTTTAGCGTTTCTAATAAGTTTATTTCGAAATTTGTCGATACATACATACATATAAGTCGCTTTACGACTCCTAACCTCCACTGCTCTCTTTCAAACCACAAATCTTGGGGGATTGAGCACCTTAACATTTCCGCTTCAATCCCTTCCCTCCAACCTTTCATTGGGCGCCCTCTGCGATACTTACGACTGCCCTCTTGCGATTTGTCGAAACTTTATTCAATTTTTAGAGTATTTGAAATGACCTTGTTTAAGGATTCGTAATTCTTGCATTTGTGAAAAGTACGGGGTGCACTTTACTTTAAAGCAATTTTTCCGGTATATTTAGACATTTTCTATCAAAACACAGTACATTTTTAGCAGATTAGATTAATTCGTCATATATTCTCCAATAATTGTTCAATTGAGAAACCAAGGATACACTCGAGCTCAGTTCTCTCAATTAGTTTCATCATAGACATGAAATTGACCAAATTTTAGACACATGCATATTCTCCATTGCATGATTATTCTTTTGAATGAGTACTGCTTCGATGGGCAATGAGTTTCTCAATTATGCACGGAGAAAAAAACCTCGTGCGTGGGACCCGAAGTTTAGGTCATATGGATCTCTGAAGTTTTCAGATTGAACATCTGAACACTTGAGATCTAGCTGTCGAGGTTCGGATCACACATCTGAAACTTCAGTTCTTACATCTGAAGTACTTCAGATGTGAGAACCGAAGTGTTTCGGATTTGAGCACCGAAGTTCTTCGGATGTAAAAACCGCAATACTTAGGACGTAGGAGCTGAAGTTTCAGATGTGTGATCCAAACCTCAGCAGCTGGACCTTAAGTGTTCGAATGCTCAATCCGAAAACTTCAGAGATCCATATGACCTAAACTTCGGGTCCCACGCACGAAATTTTTTTCTCCGTGTGATTTCAAAGAGGCAATACGTTAGGTAACGAGTGCACATTTTGGGGAGAACTATGTTCTTCACCGATGTTATCTGCTTAAATAATCATTAGGAGGATGTAAAATCTTAAAAATTTTATGTATAACCATTTTAACCGTAGCCGTGCATTCTTTTTTGGTAATGCTTACATATAGTCTACCTTGCTAGGTAGAGTGTAGGAATGATAATTGAAAATTATCCGGTAACTGTCCGCTGCGGACGGACAATACATTAGGTTATTGAAAAAGTAACGAAAAAATGTGTAGATACGTACCGGAAGAGGGTTATCCGATTGCCCGACGCCAAGCTGAAAGCACTCGCGACACGACACCGTTACTGAAACCGCACTTTGCACTACAAAAATTGGTCGAGAAAAAGATTATTTTCATAAATAGTATTTGAAAAAAATGTACAGACTCATCAGAAAAAGAATCATAACCTTAACTGATTTAAATTTTGCCCAAATAAGGTGTTTACAGGTTACATTGTGAAAAAAAACCATAATAATGAATAATGATCAGCATAATTAAAAACGTATCTTAAAACTAGAAATACAATCGAGAGGAAACACTCCTCTGGATGAAATAAACAGAAACAAAATAAAATAAAATCATGATGCATATTTTGAGAGTATGCCATGCATTATTTTTCCGTCGAGTTGTGTGACGGATACATTGGTGTATTTTCCGAAGGAAATACACTATTTTGTTCAATCGTTGTTTTCAATTGTATCTTTGATTACTTGGAATCGGAAAAGAAAAGTAACTATTGCATTGTTTTTAAAGACCTGAACGTGATAAATATACGTTGAATGATTGTTAGTCATGAATCGCATTAGTGCTATCGTTTTGCTGAAGAGTATTAGAATATGCTATTTTACTTCCATGAAGAGCTGTTAGGATGCAGAGATCGGGACCACAAAAAGAAAATCTCTGACAACATGAACGGAAGCCTGCACTTGGGAAGTTCGTGGTTTGAATTTCATAGTCGCTGAAAACTAAGTTTCCGACAACTATTTCGTGGATATTTTGCTACAGAGCGATTCATACAATTTGCTGAAAAAAGGCCGGTTCCATTACGACGCATGCCGTACTGAAAATCATACTTTCTTAGCTCTACTTTTCTACCACAGAGAAAATTAGAAAAAAACAAGAGGAACTCATAAGATGAGATATTCATACAGTTTTTCTTTCAATCCCTCAAAAATATATGAATAAATGAATATAGATATATCAATACATATGTAAATAAAATAAAGTACGGAGAACTTAGCTCACGAAGCGATTTAAATTCTCTCGGTTCACTTCTTAATGCTCAATATTAATCATCACTATAGGTATGTGGGCTAAGGAGGTGAACTGTGTACACAGAAAGCAACTTTACAAACTATCTTTGGGACTGCTAAAACATACATAAAAGTATAATTACTCTGATGTAATGGGCTTTTTAAAGGTGGTTGTTGATAGCTATACAGTGGTAAATTTTTGCAACTACGCACACCAGAAAAAAGTCATTTGAAGCCAGAGTCCAGGATCTAAAACTAAACAATAGAAAATACTATTGATTCCATCACATTTTTGCTTGAATCAAAAGGAAATAAGCTTGGCTCTCGGTTCAGGCAAATATTGAATTGAACTATGAGTATTTTCTCTTGTCAAATTTTTACGAGGGGCGTTCAATAAGTAAGTATCCCCCCTCTCTAAAATCCATAAGAATGGACCAATTTTAAAAAACTTGGGCTCAAAATCTTTCTTAGGATATTTTGAGTTCAACAAAACAAACCGCAACAAAATCGGACTATGTGCGGCCGAACGCGAGCCGTTTGAACGCGCCGAGGTGCTCGACGCTCCCGCCGAATCTGCGAGGATTTGAAGTCCGCTACAGGAGAAGAGCTTCTCTGCCAAAGCCTCAGTCGTTCATCACTGACGAAAAATCAAAGAAATTTTTGTAGAATAACGGGCTTACCTCACTTCTCCACGTAACCAGCTCGATCCAAGCAAGTCTGATACTGAGACTAAGACTAAGAGAACAGCTTTTGGATGCCTCGTGCGTGGGAGTCTTTCAGCTGACCGCGGATGAAAGAGTGGACGGCTTGTTTGACCTCTTCCACTGATTCAAAATTAACTCCTCCGAGTTCAGATTTCAGGAACGGGAATAAATGGTGGTCTGGTTTGCCATTTATTTCTTTGATTTTTCGTCAGTGATGAACGACTGAGGCTTTGGCAGAGAAGCTCTTCTCCTGTAGCGGACTTCAAATCCTCGCAGATTCGGCGGGAGCGTCGAGCACCTCGGCGCGTTCAAACGGCTCGCGTTTGGCCGCACATAGTCCGATTTTGTTGCGGTTTGTTTTGTTGAACTCAAAATATCCTAAGGAAGATTTTGAGCCCAAGTTTTTTAAAATTGGTCCATTCTTATGGATTTTAGAGAGGGGGGATACTTACTTATTGAACGCCCCTCGTATGAGTCCGGACTCTAGATCCAAAAGACCTTTTTTCCAACAGAATTTTCCAACAAGAATATTAATAAAGTCAAGACTGCCGATACTCTTACGGACTTACTCGTACGTTTCGCAGATTTTCAACTCATTTGCTACTACCTGTTCAAAATTGTTCTCATTAGCTTCCCACAGTTTTCGAATTTTCTCACTTCTACTCATCGTCCTCGATTTTATTAACTATGTACAAACCCACTTCTCGATTTTACTCAAACACTTACTACTCGCCGTTCTCAATTTTATTTGTTCAAAATTGTACTCATTTGCTTCTCACAGTTTTCGAATTTTCTCACTTCTACCCATCGTCCTCGATTTTATTAATTATGTACAAACCACTTCTCGATTTTACTCAAACACTTATTTATTGCTCGCCGTTCTCAATTTTATTTACTCCTCGATCACCTTTCTCATTTTTACTCACTGAATACTCGCACAAACCGCGCGAAATTACGAGTTCTCTTAGAAAAAGCCAGCATTTCGTTAGTTGCTTCAACAGAGAGAATTACGCACAAAATATTCTCATTACTCGTGTTTTTCTCACGGATTCTCAAATTACTCACAATTCGGCAGCCCTAATAAAAATATACTCATTAGCACTAATTGTTCTCCTTGTCATATTAAACAAATTTCATATCCATTAAAAAACGATGATTTAAAAAAGGGACTTCTGGAAGCAACAGCGACCTAATTGACAAAAAAAAAGAAGGTACATGATGAGAAGACTAAGGTAACATTCATAACAATATAGACCGGTTAAACCACGGTATTGCAACAAGTGCGTGACTGTTGCGAAAAACTCTGCGAGCTTTTTGGTGAACTTCAACTGCTAGTTTTTCTTTGTCTCCTACTTTTCTCTCTGAATCTTCTTTTGCTGCTGCTGCTTCCTCATTATGGCTGAGATAATTGAGGTCGTGGAGTTCTTTATGTTTTACTGAGCCTGCTATTGCTGCCTTTGCTACTATCCTTGTTTCACTCCTCTTCTACTGCTACTACCAGTTCTTCTTCTTTTGCTTGTCCACCTTTACATTCTTCTTATTTTTCTAATCTTCCTTTGGCTCGTACTGCCTTTCCTTGTCAAACCTGGTTTGATCTTTAAAGTTGAGGGATTTTTTTTATTTTTCAGAGGCTGTTATTACTTCTTTGTCTGCTACTGTGACTGCTGTAACTTCTGTTTTTGCCTAAGCTCCGGATAGTTTGTTTTCTTGAACTAAGAACTTTTTTTCGTATATGCAGCTACATATGACATTATCAATGCAGATAACACTGAGTTGTCAAATTAAAATTAGAATTTGGTCTATAAGATAAGTAGCTAAATTAAAATATACCGTTTACACTGACAGAATGACTCGAAAAAGATGTTAATCTTATAAAAATTAAGTTCAATACTGAACCTATTTTACTAAATGAAGTAAAAACCACGGTCAATTTAACTATTGGACAAATAACATAACCAAAAAATAAATTTAAAAAATAAAAATTAATCATAAGGAGAGATGTAAAAGACGTAAGACGTTGTTCTCGCTGGATGTTTCTTTCGGTCCTATTTCTGATGCTGCAGCTGGTTCTCTTCTTATTCCTCCGCTTACGCTAATTTCTTCTGATTTTTCAACATATTCTGTTCTGTGTCTGCGCTTCTTCCTTAGCTGCTGTTTCTTCTCCTACAGCTCCTAATGTTCCTTTCTTCTGTTTCTTCCTTCGCTGTTTGCTTCTTCTCACTTTTCGTGAAGAGCATTTCCAATGACGAGAAGTTTTTACTTCTCTATAGCAGAAGAGGGAACTGTTCGCCATGTAGCCTCTCCGCCTTATCTGTGGTCCTTTGATAACGAGGATGTTAGGGAGAGATGACTTTGCGGCCGGAAATCCACGCAAGTGTTTCCACCATTGTTGATAAGAGATTATGTGAAAAATTGAGAGTTTGATTAGCAGAGTGGATGGTAACGGTGAAAACGCTGACGAATCAATCTAGCGAAGCTCGAGCAAGGAGATCATTTTCAGAATGGAGCAAGTTGTGTGGCTGAAGTAGTAACGAGGCTGGAAATTCGATGATTATCATACATAGACTGAACAGTCAAATATGATTCACTAAATATAAGCGTCAAACCCTTCGTAAAAGTGGGAAGAAAGAAGATAGAAGAAAGTAAGGGACGGAATGCACGGCTTTTTAGTGTAGGTTAATGATACTTTCATGCGGTTGTTGAATTGAGGGAAAGTACGGAAAGATACGTAAGTGCACAGAATTTTATGATATTAGTAGCTCACGAGTTAAGCCCAACAACTTCCTTTAACACGTGAGAGACATTTTGGATGGGTGTATTCATGAGACATGGAAAAGAAGGTAAGAAAATGACAGGGAGATTTAAATACAGGAAGGAACATGCGATGTTAGAATAAACTGAGGAGGAAAAAGACGATAATATATTATCTCCTTTTTCTTCAGTCTGCATATACAGAATGAGAATTGGACTACATTTTGTGATTTGGAACTACAATTTCTGACCTACTTGAAAAGCAACGTAAGTACTATCAGTTTCCCGATGGACGTACGTATTTTTACGCATAGGCCAGAAATTATAGTTCACAATTGCAAAATGTAGTCAAATCGTAGAAAAATTCGAGGAATTCTACGATTAAGTGAGTTTTTCTTGATCAAAAGTGAGTGAATGTGATGAATAGAACGTTCTAACCTACGAGGATAAAACGTTCTAACCATCTGTCCTCCTACCCTCGTGAATCATGAACCATAACGTTCCCGGTTGGTTCAAATAATTTCTTTGACTGTTAGCCCTAACCGTAGACCCTGAAAGAGAACCTGATTTCAAAGAAAGTAAAGTTGAAATGTTCGTAATCATTTCCCACTGTC